GAAAAGTTTTGGGGGTTGCAGAGAACGGGGCCCATCCCTCCTCCTACCTCACGCTGTTAATCCTACTGAAGGATTCTTCAAAGAAGCATAAAGAATCCATATCAGTGTCCAGTTCAGCAAGAGTGCTGCACACCACGCACCTTCCCTTTGTTCAGTCCTCTTTTCTTAGCACACCTAAAACAGAAGCTAAAATAGGAGTTGAGTGAAGCAAGCCCTAGTAAGTCACCACTCACAAACTGACTGGAGATGGGATAGGACTGCCATACCTAAAGCACGGGGCTATCCAAAGATACATGCTAAATCCCAGCAGATGCCTGGAGAATCTGATCCATATCCTACAGTAAATGTTTATATCCAGCTGCTCCCTGCAAACCTCTTAGCATTTTGGTTCTCACTTCTGAGCTAAAATGCTATCCAGGCTGGACATACGAGAAATGAAGAGCCTATGCCCCAGGACATGTATCGGGAGTAAGGGAGTTGGAGGAAAGTGTTAGTCTCCTTTAGGCTAGGTCTACACTACCCGCCTGAATCGGCGGGTAGAAATCGACCTCTCGGGGATCGATTTATCGCGTCCCGTTGGGACGCAACAATCGATCCCTGAATCGACGCTCTTACTCCACCAGCGGAGGTGGGAGTAAGCGCTGTCGACAGGAAGCCGCAGAGGTCGATTTTGCCGCCGTCCTCACAGCGGGGTAAGTCGGCTGCGATACGTCGAATTCAGCTACGCTATTCACGTAGCTGAATTTGCGTATCTTAAATCGACTCCCCCCTGTAGTGTAGATGTAGCCTTAGACTGTGCTGTGTTCTGAAGGTTGCAGCCACTCCTGTAGACTGAAAATCAATGCCATATTCCTGCAAGGCTACACCATGCTCTGTCAGACTATCACATTCCTGCAGCCTGTGCTATGCACCTCCAGGCAATGCTGTGCTCCTGGAGTTCTTGAAACACTTTTGCACTTAGTGCCAAGTTCCTGCAGCCTGTGCCATGCCAGTCTCCTATTGTCTGTGCCATAGTCCTGAAAACTGCAATTACTGTCATGCTCCTTGCAGTCAGCAAACCAACCACCTTGGTGCCACGCTATTCCTTCAGTCTGAATCCCAAGCCCAGTGGTCTGTATCCTAATTCCTGTCTGGTAGGCTCTAACTTCTGAATAGCCTGCTGGCAAGAGCATGCACAGGAGACCAGAGATCCTTAGATTTATTGCTTGTCAACCAAAAAGTATATTAAAAACAAGGAGAGATAAAAATAGATGGGGAGCCTAGGGACCGGAAAGGCAGCCAGTGGAGATTAGAAGCACTGCTGGTTGACTCACCCAACTTGTTTTATTGTAGCATAGTTCTAATAACGGCTGTATTATTCCAGTTTACATACAGTGAGGAGACATTTGTTAGCACTTTTGCACATGAACATTGTACATACTTCATTTCTGCCAGCTTCTCAACATTTGGGCTTGTGATTGCAAACAGGAGAGGGGGTGGCTCCAGAAGACAACCAGCCAAATCCTTAGCTGGTGCAAATCTGCAAAGCTCCATTGGCTTCAGTGGAGCTATGCTGACTTGCACCAGCTGAGGATCTGTCCCAATGTCTATCGTAAGATAGTTTCCACACTAAGACAAGGTTTAAGAAAGCCTCAAAAACGATTTTCTTCAGTAGCGAATTTAGTGCTGGTGAAAGTACTGAATTGGCTGTCAGCTCTGGGAAACAGTCTTTTGCTTCGCCACAGAACAGGTACAAGATACACTGTAATTGTCTAAGCTTCCCACCATGTTTGGCTCAGCCTGTTCAATCCATGGCTTCTTTGCAGAGACTGCCAAGGGGAGCAGTTAGTGCCAGTTGTGGTATGGACACCTGTCTGTTGGGAACTGGACTGAGACCACCCACTCATTTCACAGAGGCTGCCAACTAGCTACTGCATGCTGATTTTTGGTCATTATCAACTCGGGCTGCATTCAGACTTGGCCTAGAAGCAGGAGTTCATATCTCATTACGAATCCTTGAACCATCCTGTTTCTATCGTGTTAGCAAGTTAATACTATATGGCTATTTGATTTTGCTGTGATTTTAATTGAAAAGTTTATTTATATTTTGGCTTCATCTTTTGTTCCTTAGCAATTATGAAAGGAACAAATGCTCTGAATTGTGGAGCTGTTTTAACTCTGAGAAGTGCTATAATCTTCCCTCTTTTGCTTTGGATAAGGAAAAAAAAAAAAACACCCCAAGACAGTGACTTTATTTGACTCTGCCCCTGTATTGTGGGAGTTGGTTTGCTTTAACATAGGGCCAGACTGTGGATGGCATATATAACTCTCAATCCTTCCGCACCACAAATGTCCCACAGACCCTTTCTTGAAATGTGACAAAAACACCCAGTCCGGGATGCAACCAAACAAATAACACAAGAGAGGGCTCAAAATGACAGATACTTTTATAGAAATGAACTATAAGGTGAAATTCATCCCTGGGGGTAACTCTCCTAATGGCAGTGAGTTTCCACCAGAGATGAATTTGGCCCTTACTTTTTTCCATAACCTTGTTTTCAGGCTTTTGCATTTCTGATGGTAGTAATTTACAGGAATAAACAGTGAGGTAACAGCAATTTTGTGTGGGAGAGGTACATTTTGGTTTGAAATGAGTGATGCACTCCATAAAGAGGAAGAGTCAAGAGGTAAGCATGTGGGAAAATGGAACATTTCTGCAGCTGAGTGAGAATGCAGTAGGGAAAAGGAAGCCACAGTACAAATTAAAGATTGCAAATAACAGGGCCAGATGCCAAGAGCCTTAGAAAAAAAACACTTGATTAGACCAACTGTTTGCTTTACTATATAAAAACTGACCTCTTTGAGGAACTCGTAGCCTTGGCCTCTTGGGCGTTTGAGTACGTGCGGGTGAACCTCACAGTTCTTAGCCTTAAAATGGCAAGACCACGTCCATCGTGATAGAACAAAAATATAGAAGAAGAATCTTCTGCCCAGTAGATTTCCAGTTGGGCCAGGTGCAAATGCCTTTCCTGGAAAGAACTCTTGCCACATCAAGATGATAGCACCTTGTGCTTTATCCAACTTGGCAACACATGCCGATGTTTTTGTTGCTGAATTACTGTAATAATCTGACTTTGATTGTGTGGGTGGACGGGGTTGCTACTGCCAACTCTGACCATCCATAACTAGCAGACCTGGTTTGCCTCATGGGAAGTAGTACCTGGATTGATGAATCCTAGAGGCAATGTGCCAAACTTACCCCTGCACTTAAAATGAGCTTGGCACAAGAACTGAGGAAAGGACAGAAGTGGCTTTACACCTCTCCTGTGCTGAAGCTTCTAGAAGTCAGTTCAACCCTCAGCACCTATTACAGCAACTATGGGGTTGCCCAGCCTTACTCAGCTGCCAACTGCCCTTATGGCCCATCTTGATATCTGGGATTACATGGGGGTGTAAGAATATCCAAGTAGTGCCTCCTTTCTTCCCAGGAATGCCCCCAGTCTTCTGCCCCAGGAACGTCTATGGAGGATGACATAGAGTCAGCTATGCCAACTGTATATCTGCCGGGGACTTGGTACACCAGGGAAATTCCCCAGCACAAAGCCACCATAGGACTACTGTGAATGAGGCCCAATATACTTTGTCCTAGTGAAAATGATCATTCACTGCAATATTTTCCAGCATCTGCCACTCTTCACAACCTGGTTCTTCAGCTGATCATTTCATGAGGCCTTTACTGGGTGGTGGCTTTCTGTCACCACGTTTCACTGAAAGGGAGAGGGAAATTCAAGAGCTACAGTGCATGCGTGGCCACCATGTCTTGCATGTGCTTTAAGGTCTTCTCCATTTGTGAAGCTGAGGAGTTGTACCCTGGACACTACATTGTGAATGAGGAGCACTGTCACAGAGACGCAAAGCTGCTCTGAGTAAGCAGGCAGACAGCGCTTGTATAGAACACGTATATTCCAAAGCTTCCAACTGCAGTTTCCTCACTTTAATTTGCATAGCTGTTACCTGCTTTCCAAACCCCCCGTCCTCCATTCCATAGCTGTAAGGTAGCAGCCGGGGAGGTCTGTGCATGAATTCTGCTTATGCAATATAATTAACTAGCACAAAGGTTACTAGAAAGGAGTATTAGCTCTTGCTAACTGCACAGAATAGCACATCAGGAACTCCAGAGCACCCTATCTCTTCCCATTTGCAATGAAATAGCAAAACGCATAACAATTAATACTTAGCTTGGGCAAAACCTTTTAGAAACATTGAGGAACTAATTATAACAAAACCTCTGTGAAACAGGAGAGTATCGGTATTTCCATTTTACAGATAAGGAAAATGAGAGGGCTTGTTTTCCCAAGGCCACTGAGGTATCTGGGTTTAGAACTCAGGAATTCTCTGCTCCCAGAGAATTCTCTTGTGCTCCGAGCTTTGGACCATGCCTTTTTGTAATGAACTCAAAAATTCTTTTTTGTACCCCTCCACTGTAAACCTACAATAGCACAATCCAAGTGCAATTATTTCCATAGCCTAGGACACCTAATCTGCAAAATTATTCTATATGCTGAAATATGTTTAGCGATCAGTATAGCTAGAAGGCTTTTTATAGATATATATTAAAAAATTCCAAAACATCCATGTATAAAACACTTCTAACCTTCCTCCCTATATGTACTAGAGGGCTGGGGAGGAGGGTCAGGTGAAGGTAATTGCAACTGCCTCGGGCCCCAGCTATCTGAATATTTGAGATTTGCTATATTTAAAGGTGCATTCCAGCATCTTTTCTAAGGAAGCAAACAATGATTCTAAACTAAAGTGGAATAAAATCCCTCGAGCAAGCTTAATTCAGGAATGTGAGGGTACAGTACCAGCGGCAAGGCGGAGTCATTAAAAAAGGAAGGAATAGCCTAGACTACTTTGCATTAATATTGCACCTTTCATCCAAGGATCTCAAAGCTCTTCAAAAACATTAATGAACACTGACAACTCCCCGTGACATGGCTATTACTGTTCCCATGCTACAGATGGGGACACTGAGGTACAGAAGACCACTCATCCCCTATGTAACTCAGTGGAGTCACAGCAAGGATGCATTTGTCTCAGAGAAGGTAAATAACTCTCACAAGTTCAAACAGCAAGTCAGTGACATGGCAAGGTATGATACCTAATTTAGGCCTGGTGCAACTGTTGACTTCAATGCAGTTGCAGTCAAACTAAAATCAGAGCATTGGTGGCTCAGTGGTAAAATTCTTGCTTCCCACTGTGATGGGTTGGATCACAGAAACCCCCTTGGGAGTTGCCACCCGATGTGCAAAGACTACCCCTGCTTCTGTTTTCCCTGCCAGCTCAGGACTCCAGCACCCTGTCTTGCTGAGCCAGACACTCCCATCTGCTCCAACACAGACCCAGGGTCTGAATCACTTGCCCCAAAGCTGCAAGTTTACCTGAAAACAGCTCACAGAAGTGTGCTTGTCTTTAGCACTCAGATGCCCAACTCCCAATGGAGTCTAAACCCAAATAAATCCATTTTACCCTGCATAAAGCTTATGCAGGGCAAACTCATAAATTGTTCGCCCTCTATAACACTGATAGAGAGATATGCACAGCTGTTTGCTCCCCCAAGTATTAATACATACTCTAATTACTAAGTAGAAAGTGATTTTATTAAATACAGAAAGTGGGATTTAAGTGGTTCCAAGTAGTAACAGACAGAACAAAGTAAGTCACCAAGTAAAATAAAATACACAAATCTATGTCTAATCAAACTGAATACAGATAATCTCACCCTCAGAGATACTTCAGTAATTTTTTTCTCAGACTGGACATCTTCTAGGACTGGGCACAATTCTTTCCCCTGGTACAGCTCTTGTTGCAGCTCAGGTGATAGCTAGGGAATTCTTCATGATGGCTCCTCTCCCCCTCTGTTCTCTTCCACCCTTTCATATATCTTTTGCATAAGGTGGGAACCCTTTGTCCCTCTGGGTTTTCACTCCCCCCTCAC